AGGGTCATTCATAAAGTCCATCTCTATTCTCTCAACGTGCCACCACTGCCCCCGTGCTCAAATCCTTCACAAGAAAAGAAGACGGAAAAAATTCCATGGATGTCAGGTTGTCTTGATAGAATGTAGACACAGATATAAGATTACGTTTAATAGCTGGGGCACAAAGGGTATTTGAAAGGTGAATTTTTTGTTGAAAGCATCTAACTGAATATTACCAGTGTGAGTGATAGGAATTTTGTTACCGTTACCCATGGTGATTTGCTCAGTCCTGGTGTAGTCTTCTGAACTGTCTAGAAGACCCCTGATACCATAAAGATTCTGGATGAAAAAGGTGATATCTATTATAATTTAACAATGTGCAGAGAAACTTTTTTTAAATACAAGTGAAGACCAACCACAACTCCTATACTATATGAGGTGTATTCCTAGTGGACTCTTAATAATGAATGTGGAGTACTAAACCTATAAGCAGTAAATAACTAACTAACAACTACAACTGACTATGCACTATTACAGGGAAGATGCGCCAATAGTTCGAAGGTTTGAAAAATAGGGAAATATTCACCTTTCAAGATGATAAAAGGCTAGAGCATGATGATTTGATGCCAGAGGAACTCTTGAAAGCTATCAAAGAGTCTCAAGTTGCCCTTGTCATTTTCTCAGTGAATTATGTTGCATTGAGGTGGTGCTTGAATGAACTAGTGAAGATTATGGAATGCATGAAACAAGAAAATGGACAAATAGTCATACCGGTCTTCTATAATGTGGATCCATCACATGTTCATCACCAGAGATAAAACTTTGCAAAAGCATTTGCCAAACATGAATTGAAGTATAAGGATGATGTTGAGAGAATGGAGAAGGTGCAAAGATGGAGGACCGCCCTAACTGCTGCAACGGATCTAAAAGGATATGACATCCGCCAAGGGTGAGTTAAAACATATATATGTGTGTAGTTTAGACCTTAGAAACACTTTATTAGACTATTGTGTGTTTACAAACAACTTTTAAAAGCTACTTAGATTCAGTTAAGCCAAATAACTTATACTATGAAATACTTATAATACCTAACTTTATTATGCTTATACACAATATGCGATGACACTTATTTAATTAATCTTCTTATTTATGTAGGGTTGAGTCACAGAGTATTCAACAAATTGTTAATCAAATTTCGCTCAAATTCTACAAGACTTCAGTATCTTATTTGCAAGATGTTGTGGGAATAGATACTCATTTAGAGGAAGTAAAATCCCAACTAAAGCTTGAAATCAATGAAGTTTACAGTGTGGGGATTTGGGGCATGGCGGGGGGGGGGGTAGTTGGGTAAAACGACAATAGCAAGGGCAATTTTTGACACACTCTCATATCAATTTGAAACTGTAAGTTTCATTGCAGATATTAAAGAAAACAAATGTGCAATGCATTCTTTGCAAAATATCCTTCTCTCGGAATTGTTAAGGAAACAAGATAATCATCTATCTATCTATCTTCTATACTACCTTAAAAGCATAAACTCCCAAACTTGAATGTTGAATTACTATAATACCCCCAATTAAAAACACTCAATTTATTTTATTTATTAATTTATTAAATTTTATTATATAGAAAGAACGCTTATAGGAACAGTAAAATTATGGCTACAAAATTTATCAGATGAAAGTTTAAAAACGTTAAGAAGTAATAAAAAATATAGTGGTGAATTAGCTACTACAACTACGGAAATATTATATAAGTATGAAGTAGCTATAAGAAATGAATTTAGTAGTATGACAACAGAAGTAGTGACTTTTTTCACGGGTTGTGACTTTTTCAATGTGTTGTGATTTTTTCGAAGGGTTGTGATTTTTTCGAAGGGTTGTCACTTTTCTAAAGGGTTGTGCCTTTTCTGATGAGTTGTACCTTTTTCAAAGGGTTTTGACTTTTCCGATAAGCAGTGACTTTTTTGAAAGATTGTGATTATTTGGATAAAACACAATTAACACCTATTAATACTACTATTTGGTAGCTATAAATAGAAAGGTTTCCTCACACTATTAAACTACAATTTCTTTAAGTTCTCTACTCTTCTTCTTCTTAAAAAAATCTCTAAGTGTTATTTGCAAAAAAATATTTAGTTCAAAATTCAGCAAAAGTTGAGGTACCTCATAAGAAAGAGTTGGTGAAAAAACTGTAGCAAATAGTTGATCAATTCACACTCGTATTTTTTCTTACCATTTTCAAGAGTTAACGGTGACGAAAAGTAATGGGAGAGACAATTATATTAAAAAGATATGAAAAAAGCATATGATTTGGGTAAGATATTTCTTCTTTTTTTTTTTTTTTATTCTTTTCCCTCAAAGGAAGGAGTTTCTTCCTAATTTTTCTAAAACAATTGGTATCAACGTAGTCCATTGAAATATTTGTTTTGATGTTAAATTCACTATTTCAAAAATAGATTTTTACTTTTACTTATAATATGATAACATAGCCATGACAATAATTATCTTTAATGGATATGTATGTAAAAATAAACGGAGAAAGTAAAGTGTTGGTTGCATGAGATTTAAATCAAATGGAACACTAGAGTGACTATAACATGAACATATATTTTCGTCTTTCTTCTTTATTGGCTATGCATTGTACCATATATTTTTTCTTTATGTCACAAGATACACTCCTTACTAGCTATATAAAAATAGATAGGAAAATATTGATTGATCATTAGACGATCTTAAATCAAATTAATGATTCTATAAATAATACTTTAAATTTTATTCATCTATTAATTTTTATCATTGAAAAATTTAAATATTTTTATACCATGATACAACTTCTATAAGATACTAGATACTTTAATTTGACAACAACTATATTATATGTATGCGGCAGAAAAAGGAGAAGACTACAATTCCACAAAAATAAGGCAGAAACTTAATGAAATGAAATATTTTTCACCATAGGTGATGTTATTCATATATTAAAATTAAATTATTCTACTGAAGTATATATAACCATCATTCATGATAACAACAAAGTACAATTTTTTTAGTAAAATTACCTCTGTATATTATTAATTTAGTAATAATATTTTGTAAATGATATGTTACATATAAAGATAAAGTATTGAAATACTTATGGTAATTCTTGTTAGTGCCATGCACATACTATATTTCAAGTATAAATATTTAAGACAAAATTTCTACTTAGATGGTTTACATCATTTATGTTCGTAACCTCAAGAGGAAAGACTATTGGTGACATTTTTTAAAGTATATTTTTTTTCTATTTTCTTGGTTAGATTTGCTTACGAAACTGAGTGAAGTAAGAAATAATATTAATAAAGAAATGTCACTTTCTCCCATATTAAAACTTTGAATGTATTTTTAAATGTTTTAATGATATCTTGTCATTGTTATCTCAAAATACAAGTAACTCTGCGACAATATGTATTAATAATTTAAAAACACTTGTCCTATGTTTGTTCAATTATAAATATTTACTAAAAAGCTTTAATTTAGTAATATTACTGCTATTTTACGACATCATAAATTATATATACGGTACACACGTGCAACGCACGTACTGTAAAACTAGTATATTATACTAAAAGTGGGAAGCCACAAAAGTAAAAGTTGAAATACTATTTTTCCCCTATCTTAATTCAAAATATTATAAAATATCTAAGCAATTTAATATTAAATAATAATTATATCATATTATATTATATTAAATACTAAAAATGAAAAGGTGTTTCAAAAGGCATTTTAGGAATGTCTCTCCATTCTCCAACATAACTTTTCAACTTTCTACGGAATTCTAGGCAAACTTTATGTCTCTTCATTTTCCAACATAACTTTTGAGCATTCTACAGAATTCTAGGCAAAATTTTGACTTATAAATATCATGTGCATGAGGTAAAATTATTATTGGCAAATACGTAAACTAATTTGCCGTTCATAACTCATAAGAAAAAAGAATTTGATTTCATCAATTACAGAAAATGCTTAAGCATGGAGATCGCCAATTAAGGTAGAAGATTGTAGTGGAGTGTTCTCTTGCTTTCCGAAGGGTGTAGGCTTAGTGGTGTCTGTTGTAGTGGTACTTTTATTCTTGTACTATCTTGCTTTTGCTTTCTACCACCAATTATTTTTATGATGTTTCGGTTATTCCACATTTTTTGTTGTTGTTATTGTTTTCGTAATAGTTGTTATTGTAGGCTTAGTGGTGTCTGTTGTAGTGGTACTTTTATTCTTGTACTATCTTGCTTTTGCTTTCTACCACCAATTATTTTTATGATGTTTCGGTTATTCCACATTTTTTGTTGTTGTTATTGTTTTCGTAATAGTTGTTATATTATATTATATTCTCTTCACTGTCATTTTTCTTTTTTATATTTACTCTGATTTGCTATCACTACACCATTTTAGGCCTACGGCCACCCCAGTAAAGTGTTGCCTAAACTAGCAAAAAGTGTGGCCTTTGATAAAAGGCTACACGTTTGGACTTTAAGCAACGCTTTTTAGGGGGTGGTCTAAAGAAGCGTAACCTTTGACATTAGGCAACACTTTTTAAATGTCTCCATCACAGCTAGACTTATAAAGCGTAGCCAAAGAGGTATAAGGGCACGCTTTGTAGTGATACATTAGCAACACCTTTTTTTATTATACTACACTTAAAAGCGTTGTCTTTGCTTTGTTATTGATCACACTTAAAAAGTGTTGCCTTTTATATCTCATCTAGAGCAACAATTATGAAGTGTAACTTTTGTTATGTACAAGATAACATTGGACGTCCTACAGCAACACTTCTGAAGTGTGGCAATGTTGTGTAGAATTTTGTAGCCACAATTTTCTATTTTTAAGAATAATAATTTTTTATTTGCATATATTCAATAATCACATAATTAAATATACAAGTGACCTAAAGCACAAAATTAACTAATAATTAAATCGAAGCTATATATTTCAAATAAACTTAGAGAAACATGTGTTGTACAACCAATACTTAGAAAGTGATTGCTTAAAGATCTCTACTATCAATAAATTCCACAAAACCAAATGCACTCAAACATATATGACAATAGTACTACAAAAAATCTTCATCGTTCACTACAATAGATCGACTTTACTTCTGGCCACAATTCAAATTCAATTGCCGGCATTTTCCTGCACATTCAAAATAAAATTATAAATTAGTGAAATAAATCATGTATTTAATATGCTTAAATTCACAGCAAGCCAGACCAATTCATAACAATAAAGATGTGGAAGTGCATAATTGGAGAGTGTTCACTGTAAGCCAACCAATTCAAAAGTGGACTCCTACTTTTAGGCCTGAGGATGAAACACCTATAGTCAATTTTATTTTTAATCTATTTGGTAGACTTAGGTACAACTTATAGTTGTGTTACGGTTTGGGTAAATGATAGAGTTGAAATTATACCAAATGATCAAGGAAATAGAACAACACCTTCTGAAATTGCCTTTACTGATATTGAACATTTGATTGGTGATGCAACTAAGGATCAAGTATAAGCGAACAGATTTCCAAAGAATGCAGAGACATTAAAACTGTTCAGGTTTCCAAAAAAGAACATAATTGTTAGATACATTTTTCTAACTATAATTCAAGTCAAGTCCCCTAAGTCCATGAAGGATATGAATCTTAATTACAAGCCATCAATTTAGAAGTCCAAAACAACAGTTTATAACCTAATAACAGACCAACATTCTAGCACCCAATGCTAGACATATTGCTCAATGTTTTTCATTCATAAGCTAAGCATAATGAGAATTCTGAACAGTGAAAAAGCCTAGGTATTCGATCAGGCCATTAATGCACTAATTAATTTTCAGACATTCCAGGATGTCCAAAACTTACGTGATCCTAGTAGAAACTTTTGGCTAAGTACGTACAAGAATGATACAAAATGTCAAATTCCTACATTCATGTTCCCTTGTTCTCACAAGTCCTTAAAACAGAATTTTCACAGAGTATACATACTAATCAGCAAAAAGCCTTTCACTGTACACAATTAAAGACTATAAAAATCAGTTTCTTGATAATATGATATGAAAAGAAAGCAGTAAAAGCAACCATAAAACGTCAACAACAGATATCTGAACAATGTTTAGCATCTTTTGAGTCTTACTTTTGTTGCATTTCGAAGAGATATTTGGTAAGAAGGCCAATAGAAGCCCCGAAGGAAAAGGCATAAATCATCAATAGTAAGAGCCTTTGATTCTGCATAGACAGAAGATTTACAAAATAAGATCGACTTGAAGAACAGTTTAGCAACTTGGAAGAATATTTACGAGTCATTGATCACGTAGCCCTCTCCATGGTGGTGTAAGGTAAAGCCAGAGTAAACTTGCTACAGAACAAAGGACTGTGAACAGCCCTCCCACTTCCCAGAACAAGTTCAAGTAGGATCTAATAGTAGAGAAAAACATGATATTGGAGAAATTAAAATACACCTATATCATCAGTAAAAACTAATCAATCACATGAAAAGGGCCCTTCTAGTGTTGGAATCAGAAGTTGAAATCTGAAGTTGCACGAAACTAATTAATCTGTCCCATTAATTTGATATGCTACTTTCATTCAAAACAACTTCTAAGACTGAATAGGGAGCCAGGCTTCAATAACAAACTCGACACAAAATGTTACTCCAGTTGTTTTATCAGATTATCACTAACGTCATAAGCAAGTGCAGAAGAACAACAAAAATTACGGCAATACTTAAAAATCTTCTGAGAATCGGAATTCATCAATCTTGAAGATTTAAGAAAAGCAAGTAGAATGTTGCCTTACTTCTTACTATTAAAAAACGAATTGACTATGATTATCCGCAATATTTCGAGAACCGAAATTCATCAATAGTGAAGATATAAAAAATTTAAGGATTTAGCATCATCTTCTAATCAGCTATTAGTAACATGACTAAAATGTCGATTTCTCAATCTTATATTACAATATTTGAAAGGACGAAGTGGAGCGGGGGAAAAGAGTACATGCAAAACGAAGGAAAATACAGAACGAGTGTATGTTAAGATATTTTTTTCTCATTTTGAAAATTTGGTAGTAGCTCATATTAGGTGTAGTGCAGGTCATAGAAGCCACCAATCCAGCAGCCTATGTGGAACCTATCATTTCTTTTCATTCTCTGCCAGTAAGGATATCAACTTTTTCCCTAGTAAAGACGAGTTCTTCTGTAAGAAGCATCTTCCCCAAAATCTTCCACTTAACCTGGAGTGAACCCTCCAAGCTTTTCTATCAATGCAGTGAGCATATCTACTACCATAACATTTTATATTCTTACAAAGGCTCCTAATTGACAAGTCGAGATAAACAAACATTCCATGCTTTCAAATTGATTAGCATGATTGACTCATCCATATATGCAGCAGGAGGTAATCAACTAGTTGAGCTGCAAACTTATGTGAGCAAAATATTATTGAACTCCAAGCTTGAGTGGTTTTAAGAATTTATCAAATGCAGGTGTCCTCTGTTTATATCAAAATTAATAATTTTAGTACTCACGAACATATCCAACCCAATAATGGAAAACTTAACACGCATGTGCAATTAAAACAGTAGTAAAATTACTTTCTATACAAGTTGTGATAAGCATCACAAGCTTGACCTGAAAAGATAAGCGTTTCATACACACCTGAATATGATGGTCGGGTCTGATGGAGACACTTTAGAAGGACGGGTGCGGTCCCCGTAAACAAAATGAAAGGCTCCATAAATGGTGAGCACGCTACAAGGCATGCTTGTCTACTTGAGGATTCCAATCTTGCTCGTAAAATATGACCTACACCACCACAACTTGTCAAAGAGATGAAAGAAATGGATGTCCAATCAAAACAAGACAGATCCATATGTTACTAACACCACTATCCAGTGGCCAAAATGAACAGGAATGACTATTTTGTGCCATTGAAATCGAACTTAAGACAAGAGTTAAAGTATATTATCCCAATCACTTGCAAGAACTGCACCATTAAGCATTGCCAGGTCCAGAAAAATTATGACTTCCTAACAATTCTCCACCTATCATCCAGTAGGTATCAACTGGCATCACTGTGATGCATGTTGTCAACAAATATGAGCTATCAACATTTTTTCTTTGATGGCATAACTCATGAGCTAAACGTCTCAATTATAACGACTAGGAAAAGAGAAGAGCATCAATATCCATGAATGGAGATAATATTCTTTAACAAATTTGAGATTAAGCATTGAACTAGTTAAAGTTTGAAGTTGAACTGTTAGATATTCTACCTGTGCATTACAATTTCACTCTCGCGTATGATCCAAGTGTCTATATCACCTCTTTCCATATATCAAGATAAGAAAACGTTGATGAATGAACACTCCTTACTTGTACAATATATATTTAGAAGAAATACTTGTACAATATAAGGGTTAACCTAAGTATATAATCTTAAACCAATCCGATAATAAAAGTTCGGCCAGTAGTTGTCACTCACTGTATCAGCAGCCACAAGATTCAACCCAACTCCACCAGCTCTTGTTTAAATCAAGAAAACAAATGCTGCATTTTGTTGAGCTTCATACTTTGATCTATTATGACTAAAGCTCTTGATTGCAGCAAAGCACTCTTCCGCATGAATTGAACCATCAAGACGCTCATAAGAATACTTCCTCAGTTCCAGATAATCCTATACAAGATTAACCTAGCAGAAGAACCATTCAACTGCAGGTTGAACTGTTTAAACATCTCTAATAGGGTTTTTGTAAAACATACCAGATTACAAACATTTACCTGGAGTATATTAAGTGTTTGAATCATCTGAGAGAAAAGAAGAACCCTATGTCCACACGCATGAAGTTTTTGAAGAAAATGATCCAATATTAGCAATTTGCCGCTAGCCTGACCAGCACTTAATGGTTAGAAAATCATACCCATGAAAACGCCATATATGAGTCGAGTGACTGATTGTATCTCCCTTGCCAGAGCTCGTATTTGCTCCCTTAGATTCCTCAATTCCTCTAAACGATGTTGGAATGCTTGACTCTGTTTTTTTCAGTTTCTCAGTTGAAGGTAAGGAAGGACTAGGGAAATCACCATATGTCATTGAAGAAGACAGAAATATACAATGACGATGAGATTTGCAGAACAATGAACTCTTTTTTTGTAGCAAGTCTGAATTTGTTTCCTTTTTTTGTTGCCCATGAAAATAAACGAGTGCCAAATACAATGTCGCATTATAAAAGTTAAAACTTAAGACATGCACTGATGTTTTCAAACTAGCAGACAGTAAATTTGTCTACATGGTGCTCTTGACACTACAAGCACCCAGCACCACACTTTATGGAAAATAAACTAAGGAGGTCTTGATCATACTGTCGAAGCACTATAGCATAACCTCCCAAATAATCAGTCCAATTGCATCTATTGGATAACAATTTAGTCACCTTACAAATAATTAGTCAGGATACAAATCGAGATGTACAAAAAAAAGTATGTAAATTATCTCAATGATACGAGAAAAAAGTCAGTATATAATTATACAAAACATGAGGTAAAAGGCTGAGATACGTTTAACCCTACACCTGCTCTGACCAACATTAGTGAGCGTACAACATTTTACGAGAATGAACTAGAGTGAGAAAACTGACGTGGTGATTCACCATAGCTGGCTCCATCTTTCAAGTTAGAACAGAACTTGAGCAACAAGTCAATTTGTAGATACTGCCTGCTGAGTATCCTTCAGCATAAAGTGGTATTCTCACCCCAAGTTCCTTTAATCTGTTCACTAAATCATAAAGAAATTCAAAGGTGAGTTTGTATTGTTTGTTAAAATCCTCTCGCACACTTGGCTGGATCCTAAACCACTCTCCCAACAACTTGTGTACATGAGAACAGATGATTCTCCAAGGCACTGGATATCGCTCACAAAACCTAAAATATTCTATCAGTAACTCAGCCTTATCTAGCTTATCGTCTTCTTTCATTCCTGCAACACCCAATCCCCCATTCAGCAGTTTGATATCCAGCAAAGAGGGCTGGATTCTCAAGAAGAAGATCTGCTGAAAGTACCCCATCATCGCCAGTTTCTTCCAAGCAACTGTGTACATCATCGATGCATCGACATAGAAGACGGAAAGGAAGCTCTGAGTTGTCAACCATTGGTACCACTATAAGTTTGGGCTCGCCTAACTTCTTCCAATGAGACCACGCTCTCTCTATCCGCTACTCCCCTTTCAAGTACCCATTTGGACGATTCATAGCTATGACTGTGTTTCTTCTACATTCAGAGCAAGAAATAGAGCAAGTTGTAGGGTTTAGGGTATGAGGTTTTTATTTGGGGCAAAAGTACGTTTTGATTTGGGCAAAAAAAATAGCTCCTATTTTGATTTAGATAAAGAGTAGCTCCTATGTTAATTTGGGGCAAAATGTTTTTTAGAGTATATTTCTTTGTATAGAATTTTTCTTTTGTTAGTTCCTTTATTGACAAATTAGAAATTGGGGGGAAAGTTAAATATATTGGAGGGAATACAATATTTTAGTGAAAATTTTGGGAAAATTATAATGCTACACTTGTAAAGTGTTGTTTTTAAAATTATAAAAATAGCATACTTTAAAAGTGTAGTAATATGTGTAAATAGGTGTTTTCAATTATATCATAATTTGACAACGTTTATAAAGTGTAGCCTATATTACTAAAGAGCACGTTTTACAAGTGTTGCCAATATTATCGTTGTCAAAAGCTAATAACTAAAGCTACACTTTAAAAGTGTACCCAAAAATATTTTTGGCAACACTTTATAAGTGTTGTCTAGATTTAGTGTGGCCTTAGGACTAAAATGTTGTAGTGTATACTTGACTCAAGTTCATGAGGGTCTTCTGAATTGAGGTAAGGTATGTGCACACCCTACACTCTCTAGACGGACTTCACGAGATATGTTATTATTATAAAAGAAATAGCTATAAAATCAGAAAACAAATTTAAACATTTGGGCTGAATTGATAAATGTACATCTATTTTGCTTTGTTAGAAAGTTTTGTCGAGACATATGTTTATTCATCTTGTTTGATCAGTTATTGATAATTTTTAAGATTTCTTTTGTCTTTAAATTTCAATTCTCTTAGTTAATTTAGTATTTAGAGTTAGAGGTATTTAATTACATGCATTTACAGTAATTAATCTAGAGCATGAAATTTAATCATCATATTTCTATATACCATTATGGGGCTATATGATATTGATTTTCTTCACGTATTTAGGGCTAGATGGTAACTATGTTTTTCTGATTTTTTGAGTTTATTTCTATTCAACAAATAAATAACTAAAGTAATGAATTACAGTAAACACAATAGAAGTTCAAATTTAAAATTCACAAATTTTAAATGGTGTCTCCGTATCATAACAACAAATATTTCTCAAGTGAAATAGATTTTAAAATACATTTTTGATTTATTATTTTGTTACACAAATCATATATCATATATATATATATATATATATAAAAGAGAACCCTAGACCCACCTACGTGGCGCCACCACAAACCAGGATTCCCTTTTAATTTGTTTTCTTTCACCACAAACCAGGATTCCCTTTTAATTTGTTTTATTTCCAAAACTAGCCTTCCCTTTCATTAAAAGTTGTGACTTTTATGAAGAGTTGTGACCTTTATTAAGAGTTGCGACTTTTATGAAGAGTTGCGACTTTTATGAAAGTTTGCGACTTTTATGAAAAGTTGCGACTTTTATAAAAAGTTGCGACTTTTATCAAAAGTTGTGACTTTTATGAAAGGTTGTGACCTTTTCGATAAGACACAATAAGCATTTGTTCACACTACCTTTTGTTGTCTATAAATAGAGTAATTTCCTCTCATTTTAAAACAACGAAAATTTTGAACTTCTTCTTCTTCTTCTGGACAATTAAATAATTGTGTACTTTGCTCCTATTGAATGAATCACTGACACCATTTTTTTGTATCAATACACTGGTGAATAGAATCGTTCTTTCCTGAGAGGATCTATTCCTTTATATCTCGGGTACTAGGGGGAAATAATTTCCTTAAGGGGACACCGTGCATTCAGTGGGATCGATTTTTCCCATTCTGTTTCATTCTATTGTTACAGTTCCTGGTATATTTTTACACTCATTAATTTATGCTTACATTATTAATTGTTATTTTTGATTACATGCTTTAAATTTTGTTGTTTATGTTTCTGCAATATTATTGTTATAAGTATTTGTTAGTGCATATTGAATAAAAACCGTTAATTGAGTATTCAAGCAAGTTTTCTCTACTGCAATTGTTGAAGGTACAATTAAAAAAACCCTTACAAATCTCTAATTTGTTCATCAACAACGTCATTTCTTCACATACAAGAATGTGATTTTGTGTTCTTTAGAAAATCCTCTGAGAGTTAATAAATTTGCATGCCCATATTTTTTTGTATTTATGTTGTTGTTATCTATTTTTACTAAATTTATCACTGGATATTACGAGTATTTTAAGGATTGAAAATTGATTGAAGTGTTAGTCAATTTTTTGAGGTATGTTATTTTAAAATATGAGAACTTTTTTGGTTATAATGATTTGTTATCATCATTGGATATCTCATAGTTTACTCCCTTTAATGTATGTTTTTTCTCGCTGTTTTGTTGCCTCCTTAAAATTGTATTGATTATTTTTCGTTTGATATGTATATGATCTCACTTGGACAAAGTTTTCGTCCTTTTAATGTCTTTCTTTTTTTCCTTCTCATTCAGCTCTACTAAATATTTATGGTGTGGGTTATGACTATTTTCAGCAAGCTTAATTTGAAGTATATGAAACAAAACCTGCTCTAAATAAAAATAATATCTTAAGCTACAAAAGATATGTCTATTAACATAGATTTGTTGTCCTTTATGTCCCAAGTCATTGCTGGACATTTGAGTTATCTAGGTTAGACTCATTTTTAATTTTTTAATGTTCGAGAATATTTCTTTAACATGAGTCTAGAATCCAACATTTTGATCTACTTGTACTTTCATAATGCAACAACTATACATATATATTTTCTGAAAAAGTCGTAAAGTTGCATTGATGAAACATCTAGAAGGGCCTTCAGAACAGCAGTTTAATGAAGAATGAATTTCTAAAATGGTCAACAATTTTATTTTGCTGTTGTTTCAAATTTATTTTTCTCCTTCTATAAATTTTGCCAGAATAACAAAGTAACAATAAGAAATGTGGTGAATGTTTGACCTTGGACAAGTAGATTGTCTCTAAAAAAAATTATTTATGTTGTTGTGGTGTACATTTTTAACGGTCTTAACTTATTTATAACTAATATTGATTACCGAAAACTTTTATATAATTTGTTTTTAACAAGGAGATATTCTAACCATAAAATTATCAGTTCTATATTTTTCATGTACAAAAAAATATAAAAATATATGTTTAACCGCTACATAAAAATATCACTCAGTTTTAACAAGACAACTATATCATCAAACATATATTATGATATTTTTAATCATTCATTATATCTTTAAAATTCTTGAGATATGTGATAATGTCAAATCAATTAATTTCTGTTGAAATGTTCTTAAAACCTACTAAAATTTACTTTTTTTTTTCTTATAACAGTCGATTATTAGAAAGGTTGTTCAAAAGCTTAGAAAGATTATTTATGCCCGCGCAAAGTCCGGGTAAATTACCTAGTTTTATAGTAAAAGTTGAAAATATATATGCAAAGCATGTATATTATATATATATGTATGTGTGTATGTATGTATGCATGTATGTTATGGTGTGTAAAGCAATGAATATGATGCCAAGCACCGTTGGTAAATTTTGTCTCTACTTTTATCAGAAATAAGTATTATCTTATTCCGGAGAAAAATATGATGCATACGTCGTTATACATAATTTCCAAATTATAAGATTTGTCAGTGCAATTAATTCCCTCTCATGGTCTATGCCTTTTGTTTTTCTTCTTTAAACTTGTAGCTTCCGACTTTCGAGTATGAATTAATTTATTTTCTATCTATAATCTATATGAATAAAGTCTTACGAATGATGTGTATGTTGTATTTTTCTTCTATTTTTTGTGTGTTTTTTTCTCTATTAGACTTCACCAATCTAATTTTTTTTAATTTTTTATCATTATCGTAAGTCTGTATTGATATTTGTCTCAAATTAGTCATTTGTGACTTTATTGGAAGTGTGTTAACTACTAAACAAAGTTTAAAAATTACCGATAATAGCCTCAACAGAATTGATTTACCGATGGTAGCTTCAAAGGAATTGATTTTAAACATTACAATGTGCCCCTCATTTGGTGTTTCTTGACGTACATTAAAAAAATAGTACTCCCTTAACACGTTTTGCATAAAAAATTTATTGTTCTAACGAATCTATACAAAATCACATACGCACGTGTCCAAATACTACTTATGTAAATAATAAGGAGGATGGAAAGCATATGATAGCTCGTAGACTTCATTTTAAGAAGGTTGTAGTTGTGCTTGATGACATAGATCATAGAGACCATTTGGATTACCTTGCAGGAAATCCTAATTGGTATGGTAATGGGATTAGAATTATTGCAACAACTAGAGATAAACATTTGATTGAAACGAGTGATGTGATAAATGAAGTGACTACACTAGTTGACCATCAAGCTATTAAATTGTTCAATCAATATGCTTTCGTCAAAAAAGAAGTTCCCGATGAATATGTTGAGAAGCTCTCAATGGAGGTTGTACATCATGCTAAAGGCCTTCCTTTAGCCCTACAAGTGTGGGGTTCTTTATTACATAAGAGGGACATAACAGAGTGGAGAAGTGCTATGGAGGAAATGAAGAATAACTCTAATTCAGAAGATGTTGAAAAGCTCAGAATTAGCTATGATCGATTGGAGACCATACAAAGAGATATATTTCTAGATATAGCATGCTTCTTACGAGAGAAAGATAAAGATTACATCATGAAAATTCTTGAGAGATGTTATTCTGGAGCAAATATTGGATTGCGTGTCCTAATTGACAAATCTCTTGTATTCATCTCTATAAACAATACTATTGAAATGCATGACTTAATACAAGAGAAGGGTAAATACGTGGTGAAAATGGATAAAGATTCGGGAGAACCTAGCAGAATATGACATTGAAGATTTCAAAGAAGTGATTGACATTAACACAGTAAGTAGGTTAAACAATGCAATATTATTCAATTTCCTGTTTTCATACATTGATATTTATTTATCTTATCTTATTAAGCCATTAATTGGTCTACTACCCGTTTATTTATCTTTTTGCCAGGGGACCATGACAGTGGAAGCAATCTGGTGTACTTATTTTGGCAAATATGCTTTAATAAAAGAGGTGATGAAAAATATGAAAAAGCTTAGGATATTGTACATAAATGATGGTAGCTGAAACAATTTATTTTTACTCCCCTCTTTGATTGATTCAAAATACATTCCCAATGGCTCCATTGAGTGTCTGTCCAACAACTTGCGGTGGATTTTCTAGAAGCAATATCCTTGGGAGTCATTGCCAGAAAATTTAACCTTAAAGGCTTCTTCATCTCTATCTCGGGTGGAGTTTATTGCATGATTTATGGACAAAAGAAAGGTATCATTTTATTTGAGATACTTTACTATTTTTTGGCTTTTTACTAGAATTTGATGTTTGTGTTTAAATTGAATATGATATTAGTTCCATAAAACTCAAATTAATGTCTGTTTGTTGTGAATAGGAGCTTTTGCCATGTCTACGATGGCTAGATCTGAGCTTCTCTAGTAGACTGATGCAAACACCAAATTTCACGGGGATGCCAAATTTGGAGTGTTTGAATCTGGAGAAATGTAGTAATCTTAAAAAGGTTCACTCTTCCCTGGGTGATTGCAAAAAACTCATTAAGTTAAATTTGTATCGTTGTAAAAGCCTTGAGAGTTTTCCATATGTTAATGTGAAGTCTCTTGAACATCTAAATCTAGAGGGTTGCCAAAGTTTGGAGAAATTTCCTGAAATCCTTGGAAGAATGAAGTCGGAGTTAGAGATAAAGGTGAAAGGCATTGGGATAAGGAAAATACCGTCATCTATTATTCAGCACCAAGCTCTTCTTACAAAGCTAGATTTGTCAGTCATGGAAAAACTTGTAGCTCTTCCAAGTAGCATAGGCATGTTGAAAGGTTTGGTAAAGCTCGTGGTGCCCAAAACTTGTAGCTCTTCCAAGTATATTTAAGTATGCATGTTTATTTGTTCCAACCTGGAAAGGCTTGATGCTAGCTGCACTCGAATTTCACAACCTCCCTCTTCCATCGTCCGATTGAACAAGCTTAAATGTTTAGAAGATGGAGTGTACTTTGTGTTCCCTCAGGTGAATGAAGGGTTACGCTCATTGGAAATTCTGAATCTCAGTTTCTGCAATTTAATAGATGGAGGACTTTCGGAAGACATTGGAAGCTTATCGTCTTTGAAAGAGTTGCATCTCAATGGAAATAATTTTGTGCATTTGCCTGAAATCATAGCCCAACTTGGTGATCTTGAAACCTTTTACTTATCAAATTGCAAGAGGCTACCACAGCTGCCAGAATTTTCAAAGCAATTGCATACAATATCTGCAGATTGGAGCAATGATTTGATCTGTAATTCATTGTTTCAGAATATCTCATCTGCTTCAGATTCCTTGTCACTAAGAGCGCTTGTGAGTTGGGGGATCAACATCCCACATTGGTTCCACCATCAGGGAACTAGTACAAGTGTATCAGTCAATTTGCCTAAACATTGGTACGTACGTGACAACTTCTTGGGATTCGTTGTATGTTACTCTGGAAAATTGTTTGACATGACAGCTCACTTGATTCCCTTATGTGATGATGGGATATCGGGTATCACCGAGAAACTTGCCTTATCCAACCATTCAGAATGTAATCCTGAGATTGCATTTTTGTTGATACCTCTTTCTGGCTTGTGGGATACATCTAAGGCAAATGGGAGAACACCAAATGACTATGGGCTTTTTATGTTATATTTCTATGGTGAAATGAAGCATTATGGATTACGTTTGTTGTATAAAGTTGATCCTGAGCTTGACGCTAATTTCTCCTCTTCTAAGAAATATTCTAATATTCTTGGGAGAGTCGTCAGTTTTTCAGCTGCAAACCAAGGAATTTAGATTAAATAAATATAGGTAATATTCTAATATTTGTGTTGTCTCTAGTTTTTCTTTGCTTGAACTTTTGCTATTCCTTCCTTCTATTAATGTTTTTGTTGAACTATTAAAAATATCAAAGCTTCTTCTAGTAGTGAACTAAACAAAAATCAATAACGGGCGAGTGATTTGTATGTATGAAAAAGAGGAAGACTGATGTAAACCAAAAAGAAAACTGATACTTTTTTTCCAACTTGCATCCTATCTTGGTGCTCCGTCTAAATTTATTTTTGATTTTGTTGTATTGCTTTCACTGAGTTATCATTCCCAAAACTTCTTAACATATCAGACGTAATCTTTGATTTAAATACAAATATCTCTCTTTCTTATGCACGGAAAAGATGAAACAATTGAAAATGCATAAGTTTTTAGGGAAAAATGTTAAAAGTAAATGACAGAATACTAGTTGTGGTCGCTCCTTTTTGGATTATATGAATAGTTTTTCAATCTTATAGTCTACCGCATTGTTGGTAGCATGCAAACTGAGAAGAAGAAGTTGGTATTTTGAGAATAGAATCGGTGACACTGCCTATGAAGGGAAAATATCTCCTCTACCTAAGAAAGAGATTCACGAAAGAACTTGGGTAAGCAATAATTCGTTGTTTTTAAATTTCCTTTTGAAATATAATCACATTTTCCATTTGCTGACAATAACTGGCCTAAAAAACAAATTGCAGATTATAACTTTGCGAAAATAGGTGGATGAAAGAAGCCTAGGGGGACTATTTCCAATGTAGCTCCAATGCTCCAGCTCAAATAGTTTCTCCCCTACTGAAGAAGCGTAGTCTCCATTGACATCTACTATCAAATGTTACATTCTGAATAGGAATTGGTTGAGGTTATTTCTCTCTATATTTTGTACTCTCATATTTATATAGTGGATTGCTTATCTCCTTTGTGGATATAGGTCGATTGACCGAACCACATTAAATCTTCATGTCTTTTGGTATATTTATCATTTGTCTTCTTACTCATGGTCTTCCGAGGTTTGCTTTACTAGCTTCCGCATGACACCTGCTTATTTCAGTACTAACAACCAAAAACTTCAAATGGGAATTTCACAGACACTCTACTGACTTGCAAGCAGACACTAAAGGTTGTTTAGAAAGGAGCTGGAAACAACAATCTTTGAATCACAGATATACCACAAATGAATTCTAGGAGATTCATGTACTGATATAGCACAAATACAAACTGAGATAAAAGTTAAAATAGAACAACTCAAGTATACAAAAAGAGCTCATAGTCATAGATAAGGGTAATTATGGGTTGGTTATCGGTTGGGTTGTTATCAATTAGGTTCAATTGTTCAGTTATTATTCATAGATGAAAATAAAATCAAAACACAAGATATGGAATAGAAAAGCAAATTAATTAGCAAACAAGCACCTGCCAACTTCACCTATGATAATGTACTTTTTCCTTTCAAGTTGAATTTTCACCAACAGAGGAGAAAATGAAATGAAAACCAGAAGACCCAACAACTGAATCATGCCCGAAATTGATCCAATTAATCCAACAATATAATTCTTCTATCCCTTCAATTATTATTTGCACCACCTTTTTCCACCATACTACTTGTTAGTGATATCGTTTGCTTTAGGTCTAGACCCGCAAGGCTTTAAAATGGGTCACTAGATTAGTATCATGAGGTCATCTAACTTTTATATCTAATAACTCTCATGTGTTTTGTCGATGTGGAATTCTGATACTAAGCTGGGAAGTGACATAAACCACCTCTTATAATATATATATATATATATATAATTCTACATTGCCTTTTCCAACAAACAATAGTTCGTCCCGCTAGTGATATTTTTCGTTTCGCCCTAGACCCACCCAACTTTAAAACGTGCCACTAAAGTGTAAGATCTGCTTACTTATCGTATGTTTTTGTCGATGTGGAATTCTTATCCTAAGGAGATGTGTCACAAACACCCTCTCTTATTGTCACGACTCGAGCCTACACCCTGGACGTGGCCGGCACTCGAGAACCATTTCTGGTCCCCAAGTGAACCCTCAACCTGGCTGACTTCAAGCGGAAGACTAACTCAAGCCTACAAAGCTTAAAAATTGAATAAACATTCATGAAACTTAAATAGAAAGCTTTAACTGAAAAGAAAACTCCGAATAAAATAAATTATTCAACTCGCCATAAAATAGGCAACTTAAGTCTTTAAAACATTTAATAAAATAAATGTAGACTTCTCAACTATACTGACTATCTATGAAGCCTCTAACTGATACAGATGGAAGTTGGGACAAGACCCACGACATCCTAACAACTGATATAACTGAAAGGTAAATGAAATCCTCCGGAAGCAAGGAGGCTCACCATAGCTAACTCGAACTCTCGGATGTATCAA